AATGCAGATGGTGAAAACCAAACAAATAGAAAAGCTGTTGGACAACACCAGTGAGTATCTACCTATCCTAACACTTCCCAGTAGATTGATACACTGCTCTTTTCTTTGCTCTGTCTTTCCAGCTCCTGCAGACTATAGACTTCTTCAGCTACAGACTATGTCAAGATGATTGTTTAATGCCAACTCATGAATTACCTTCCATGGATGTATATTATCCCTTTAGCATTTCCACTCTTTTTTGGTCTCAACAACATCCAGAGTCAGTGGGTTCATGGTTTTAAGCTTTCTGACTCTCTACTGGGCATCACACAATACCTGTATTGGCAGAAACCGATTCATTCCCTCTTCATCTTTTCCATACTACTCATGGTCTTACAGATTTCTAATATACAGCTTCCCAACAGTCTCTTTACCAAGCAAGAGACTCCTAATATTTAAGACTTCTTGCCTAAAGTGACCCTGTTGCCCCTTTATGAAAGATTACAAATATGTTTGTTTGATTTGCTGAGCTCCACAGTTACACGTCACCCCCTCAGAACTGCAGCAAATAAGAAATAAAGCAGACATGAAATTTAACATTCATAACAGTATTGCAATCTGGAAATAAGCATTAGTTGCTACATAATTTCTCACTCTCTCTGTTTACTCTCTGATTAATCCGCAAACATCCTCTCAAGCATATGAAACTGTACAGTTATTTATTAACATCCGCCAGCTACAAAAGCAAGATCAAAAAAATCTCCAAGTTTAGCTCACTTAATGTAAAATCTGATCCAATAAACAAAAAGATAAATTACTAGTTCACCAAATCATGCAAGTAAAGCAAAAACCAATTGTTAAATATCTTTTCATGTTAGATTACCGACACTTGAAGTTTAATCAACCTTTTTTTTTTTCAGATTTAAGGAGTTCAAAAAACTGAATTTTAAGATCTATCATGCTACGTATGCAATGGCACAAATAATACAACTGCCCAGCAAGAAATATATCTGTTTTCATTGCTAAAGTTGAAAGAAATGAATAAACACACATAGTTCCAGTGAAAATAAGGAGTTTTATGTAAGCATTCTTACTTTCTTTGATATTACTGGCACCATAGAAGGAAAACACAGCCCTATCAAGACAGAGTGATCCACAAAGACTTCTTCCACAAATCCTACACGGCTTTGCAATGTGAATGGTATGCTTATTATTTTCTTATTTAAAACATACCTATTTTACCGAATGCTTCTCTCAGATCTTCAAGCTCTTCACGAGAGATAGTAGTTATGTTGTTTTCCATCTCTAGACAGCAAGAGGCCTTGTCCTCAACTGCTTATACCTAATAATAATAAACAGAAAATATATAAGGCTTTAATTCCAAGCACATACTAATACAAGTTACTGATCTTTTCAATACAAGGGACCAGACCTGAATGACATTTCCAGGCCTGGCACACTTAAAACATTACAAACACCACTTTCAAGTACATCAAACACCTGGCAACTGTTTTTGCTGTAACAATGACAGAGAATTCACAATAGCAGCACCTGTTTGCATACACTTGATGTTTTCATTTGCATAGAATAAGCACTGATCAACCATCTACCTCCATTGCTTGTTTTTCCAACATTAAAATCATTACCTTACATTTCAACTAACAATTTTTAGAAAAATTAATATCTGAGTGCAATGCGGTATCATTGCCAATTAGTAGTTAGTGCTAGGGTCTAGTCCTGCAAGGCACTGGGCACTCCAACATTTGCACAGTAGTAAACCTCAGTGGGAGACTTTCAAGTACCTGCTTACCATCAGTGGGCAAATGCTGACGAGCCTTTTTATAGCTGCGCAGAAGTTGCCACGTCCTGACCTTTACTGCACTCTTTGACAAGGCTGTTGTCTCACAACACTGTCAAAGAGCCGAATAAAGGCTTTTACTGAGCACAAAGATTGGAGTCTCAACTGAATCTGCTTTCTCTACCCAACTCCATAAAAAAGCAAAACAAAACCGAAGGCACCTTCACAAGGGTTGATAGACTCACCCACCCAAACAGATCCTTGCCCATTTCCTCTGACCAAAGCTTTACTACAACAGGATGATTCAGACCCTTGTTAGTAAGTGCAAGTCTGTAAAGAAGTCACACCCAATTGTCTCAATATGCAAGCTTGTATTTGCCTCTGCCATTTTCCACCATGCACACACCACTGGCGCACACAACGTAAGCCTACGGCAGCACCCACCTGCATCCACTAAGCTCTGAGCAGCACTTGTCTGTAGAGAGCACAATGTGCTACAGGTGATGCTCGGCCTACCATAAAGTAGAAGTTTTGTCTTTGCTTTTACTTTATAAGCCAAAAGTGGCAAAAATCCACCTTATGTAAGTATTTTCATCAAAGTTGTCCTATATGTGTGTATGTTTTCCCTTCTGGTTTAGTTGCTTCTGCCTTAGTGTTTTTGCTTTAGAGCAAGAAAAATATTCCTGTAATGGCCAGGCTATTATTTGCTCATAATAATTCTATTCAGATCTGCTATATGCAGCTGCTTCTCCCCCAGAAATCGTGCGTATCAACAGAACTGTACTGTTGCCCACTGGACAAGACACTGGAAGGGGAAACCTGAATTCAACAATTGGTTTTACCATGGACCTGCTGGATGCCCTTGGGCAAGGCTGTACTTTTGTTTCCCACCTTTGTAGGTCCTGACTAACCAGGTTACAAACTTGCTGGGTGCAGGGACTGCCCCATGAGTAGATGGTTACACAATGCCTGCAACAACAGGACTCCCCTAAGGTCTGCTGTGAGGCTGTAATAATGGAATCAGAATTTGTTTCAGAATGAAGGAGATTAAACATTATCAATTTGAATTTCTGTTAGAAAATTGTTTCTTCCTCATTCTAGCTGTGTCAGTTTTCTTTCAATCCCTGACAATCTAAAAATGAGTAAAAATACAAATTAAGCAATTGCACAGGTCACCAGCACATGACAGAAGAGGCAGCAGGGCACTACATCAGCTGCAGTTTGCTAGGGGATGGTGTCAAGAAGTCAGACAGATTTCCTGGAGGTTTACTACGGAGTGCCCGAGCAGTGCGCACAATACCGCTGATGGGAGTTATACCTACTGTATTGTCAAAAGTCTCAATACAAAATAAATTAGCTGTGGGCAGCCACAGACAGGTACAACATTGCCTCACTACATTAACCACTGAAGTGTCTCCTGATTTCAGGATTATAAGCGGTGACATCACTGCTGGAGATTATTTCACTGAGAAAGATATCACACTTCTGTATTAGTGATGTCAAAGCCCATCATATTCTGCAACCAGGTAGAACATTTGTTTATCACAAATTGGCTCTCCCTGCCTACCTATTAAAGGAGACCAAATGAGAAGTACAGCACAACCTGTCAGCTTGCACGGCATTCACGGGTTGCCTCCATCTGCTTGGAGTGCAAAAAGCACAGGGTCAGCCCTTCTTTCTTCTGCACCTACCTCTAGTTACACAGAAAGTGGGGATTCCCACTGCATCCAATGCCTAAGGCTTTCAATATTCTAATGTCCTCATACTTACACAGTATCCTTCAGGAGAAAAAAGGAGACATGACACAACTTGTCAAAAAATTCCAAAACAAAGAAAAAACCCATCTGGATTAAAAACTGACTTGCAAATATTAAACTGTTAAGAAACATAGTTATTCAACGCATTTTGATACTATGTTGGAAAGCATGTCACTGGATGGAGATTCAGGTAGCCAGAAATTAGAACTTGACGAGGATATTGGGGCTGATAATTTTACTCAAACCTACCAATCCAAATCTATGTATTATGGCATTCCTCCTCATACTATTTTGCCTTTTGTTGAATGCAGAATGATACACTTTTTGTCATTTATATTAACATTCTATATAAATAAGAGTTATTACGTGAAAAACTCAGCTTTTTAGTGATATTTCTTAACTGTAACTACGTACACATTTAGGTTGCTAGGCAGTTTTCAATAGGATGATTTTGATTCTCCCAACAGCATTTTCATAAACGCCAAGTAAGTTTTCACCTTTGATTTTCTAATACAAAAGGCAACGGGACAATATTTTGCTACTGTTTTTACTGCTAGTAAGAGAACTCTGTATGGGAGAGAATAAACTATCCTATACTATGAAGTACTCACTAAGAATACTTGAACAGTTTGTAATGAAAAAAATACTCCACAGGAAATGCTGGAAAGGTCTCTAGAACTAAAAAAATAAATGCCAAATGAGGTATCCTGTCATTATGCATATAGGTTTAGCTACATGTAGAAGCAACGCTCATGAGCTAGCAATGAGTAGCTCCCAACTTTTTTCAAAATTCTATTTTTAAACAAAGCAAATACTTATTCAAAATACTATAAAATACTGTGACTTTGTTTTAAAGTACATTTTTTACACTTTTTATTTTTCTTGGTTTTTTTTTTTGGTTTTGGTTTTTTGAAATCTTCGGGGTTTATGTTTTGAACTTTGTGGTTATCTGAAGCCATCAGAGTTAGATATTTCCTTCAAAAAAGAAAGTGACTTGGAAGTTAAGATTCTCATGTAATAAACTTCAACCGAGGGTCAGGGGTTTAAGGAAAACAAATGAGATGTGGTGAAACTTTCTAAGACAGCAACTGTATTGTCAGACAATTCAAGAAAATACAAGAAATTTTTTTTGTCACAAGAGTATGTGACTACTGTCTCAAAGTACCCAAGTAAAAATATTTATTTGGGCTCTATCTGCAGCATAAGCATTTATTTAGCTACACTTACTCTGCCACGCAAGAGAGAAAAAACAAGTCCTGCACCATGTAACTGATTCTTATCTCGGCAAATATTTCTGCTTTAAGGCAGTAGTTTACTTTTCTTCCACGATGCTACATTAAGTTTCCATAGCAATTTAGTTTTCTTCCATTATGCTATATAAAAAAAGTTCATGAACAATAGCAGGTTATTTTAATGAGATCTTGTCTACTTTACTCGGGTTAGTATTTTCTGCATCTTCACAGGGACCGTTCCTGTGGGTCACACAGGATATGGCCTTGAGTGTGGGCGGCAAGTTAAGTCTTTTTCCTTCATGTCACTTGATCTTATTTAAGTACTGAAATCCTACTTATCCATTTTGCTAAGCTTATTAGCAGCACATACCGGTCTTCATACTCAAAAGAACATTTAAAATATATATTCAGAAAAAATGACCATACACACAGATGTCTCTGGAAGTACAAATACCTTGATTGGAAACCTGATGTGTCAATTAAAAATAAATAAATAATAAACCGTGGAAAAATTGGGGAAGAAAATTAAATATTTAAATCCAAATTACTAAGGAAATTTAAAGGACTGAAACTGCAAAAAACCCCAGAAGACAGTCCTCTGAAATACAGAAAGAGCATGTCAAAGCAAAAGTTAAATATTTAGCCACGCAGGTGCAAAAGACACCACCACTTCTGTCATACTGTTAATGTTTTTAACTATTTACCATTACCATGAGTCAGATTTTATCAAAAACAATTTCTGCAAAGTTGCAATGCAATTAGTTTCACTCCTCCCCTTTTATGATTCATAATTTAGATTTTCCATCATATTCTACTTCAGAAAACAGCAATCTTTGATTTCCAAAGGCGTTGATTACTTGAGTAACACAGTAGAACATCTGTTCTTGAATGAAGCAGATAAATAAAGCTAATACCTCTGCTCTAAAGAGACAGTCTTAAATACCCTATTATATAATTACAGGGTAAATTAGCTGGTCAATTGAAAGGCAGAAATGCTGCAATCATGGTTCTGGCATTCAAGAGAGATCTAATTTGAGCAAAACCAACACCTGAACTAGTCAGACATTTCAGACAATTTCAGTATAGAAACAGGAACCTTTTATCTAAGCTAATAAATACTCTGCAGACACAGGTTTATCACTACCCAAGATGACTCAGTCTACAGGCAATTCCGACAAGATATAACATTAAGCCTCCAAAGGTACATGTCTATTGGAATTACGACTACCTGCTGAAAGATATATTTGTTTACAGAGAACACATTTGTGTGTACTCTGGTAGTGTTCATGTAACACTTAGATTTTCTGGAGTCTATGCTTACATTAAACCATCTCCTACTACCCTAGGACAGGGTAGGTGCAAACACTGTTTTTATGCCGAGAAAGTGTCCTTCATCCTCTTTCCAGTCCTTGCCAATATGCTTAACATGAACTGACAATATTCATCTCTCCTTAGCCTGCCTTCTATGCCTGGAAGGCTTTTTGTATTTAAGCCAATTCACTGGAGTCTCCTGGAAACATTCCACATACAAGATTAATACAGATACAA